GGGCTGCGGGCGCTATGGCGGGCCGGCGCGGGGCACTGATCGTGCTGGAGGGTGTGGACCGCGCGGGCAAGAGCACGCAGAGCCGCAAGCTGGTGTCCGCCCTGTGCGCGGCCGGCCACCGCGCGGAGCTGCTGCGCTTTCCTGGTGCGCGGGGCGTGCGGCGCGACCGGACTCGGGTTTGGATTCGGCCTGCCTGCCGGGGTGCGGGACGAGCCTGCGCCTTGCTGCGCGCTGCGCGGCCCTGGAGGAAGGCGGCGCCCCGAAAAGCGCCGCAGAGGAGTGCGGCCCCGCACGTTGGCCGCGGCTGCGAGTTCCGTAGGGGAGGCTCAAGTTCGGGGCCAGCCTGGAGGCTAGCCACTCGATAAGGTCCTTCTGTTTAAGGAGACCAGGGCTGTGGCTCTGTGAAGGACCTGCCGTGCTTTGTTTTGTTTGTCGTTTTGAGACAGGGTCTCGCTGGGAAGTCCAGGCTGGCCTTGAGCTCACTTTGTAGCCCAGACTGGTCTGGAACTCGCAGCGCTCTTCCCGCCACAGCCGCCGAGTGCTGGGATTACAGGCGTGTGCCAGCAAGCCCGGCCAGGACCTGCGCTTGTTCCGGTACCACCACCACCAAAAAATGTTTTTAGTGAAGGGATATAGGAGATGGGTGAGGAACTGGGAAAGAAAAGCTTTCCTCCTGCGAACCCGTCCACAGATCTTACAGGTTCTTCCTTTGAACTACTGTCTTTTTGCCTCTTGCCATAAGGCACCTCTGCAGCCTGTACGTACATTGCTGCTTTTCTCAGGGAAACCCTTTTGGCCTCCATGTGGTCCAGATTAGCGCAGATTTAGTAAAGTAAAACCTAAAGTGAGGCAAGCACGGATATAGAGGAGAAATTCAGTGCACAGTATATTCTCTTTTGCTAATGCTGTACTATTGAGTTACATCCCCAGCTTTTATTTATGTATTTATTTATGTATTTTGGTGGTACTGGGGACTGAACTCAGGACCTTGCACTTGCCAGGCAAGTGCTTATGCTACTGAGCTATCTCCCCAGCCCCCTATTTTTTTTTGAGATAGGGTCTCACTGTGATAGTTCAGCCTGGTCTTGAACTCACTGTGTCGCCCAGGCTGGTCTCAAACTTGGGGTGATACTCTTGCTTACTCTCCTGAATGCTGGTATCATAAACTATATTTTACTTTGGGTGGAAAACTTGCCTTTCTTTTTTGTAGAAAGATCAACGGAAATTGGCAAACTTATCAGTTCCTACTTGGAGAAGAAAAGTGAATTGGAGGATCACTCAGTGCATCTGCTTTTCTCTGCCAACCGCTGGGAACAAGTGTAAAAGCCCAAACTCCTTCTGCCTCTACCCTAGGAAACATGCTGCTACCATGGGCTCTGGATTCTGCATGCCATTGGCGTCATGTGGGCCTGGGTGGGACCTGAATGCCCTAGGGGCTGCTCAGTCCACAGCTGTCCCGGCTAGGAGCCCTGACTACTTACTGCTTTTTCTTTCTGTGTATCCTTCCCCCTTTTGTAACTTGTAAACTGTTTTTTTGTTTTTTTTTTTTGTTTTTTGTTTTTTGGCGGAACTGGGGATTGAACTCAGGCCCTTGTGCTTGCCAAGGAAGCACTTATTCCACTTAGCCATCTCCCCAGCCCCTATAAACTATTGTTGTAGTTTACAAATTGATCAAAAAGTTTCTGAACCTACCCCTTTCTTCTCTCCTCTCTTTCCCTTTCCTTTTTTCTAGACAGTCTCACTCTAGTCCAGACTGCCCTTGATCTTGCTGTGCAACCCAAGCTGGGCTGGAACCACAGCAACTTTCTGGATGTTAATTGTTACACTTAACCATTCTCATTATGTTATTAACCAAAGCTTATAGTTTGTTTTTTCTTTTTCCCTCAGTGCTGAGGATTGTACTCATGGTCTCATGTGCCTAGGTTTATACTTTATTTGGTACCAGGGATCGAACCTAGGTCCTTGTGCTTGCCAGACAGGCATTTATTCCACTGAGCTGTATCCCTGGTAAAAGTTTATACTTTATAGTAAGGTCTTTGGCCTTTTTTTTTTTTTTTTTTGTGAGCTTGCTGGGGAACTCTTGCATTTGGATCTGTGGTCCATTCTGAACTAATTCTGTGGTATGAAAGAACTGGCTGGACTCTTATTTTAACATGTGAGCATCCATTGCTCCAGCAACATTTGCAGACTTATTTTTGTCCCATCAGTGTCTACTCCTTTGTCAAAGATCAGTTGATTGTCATTTGAAGGTCCCAGGTGAGAGGTGAGACTGGCTGAGCGCGGTGAATTTGATTGCTTTCTCTGGCTTTAGCAGAGCTTTACTGACTCATGCCCCTCATCTATGCATGCCTAAAATCTTGGCACCTTGGGGATGAGAGTGGGCCTCTGCCTGATTGTGAATGTCCCTATATCCTGGCCACCCTTGTCCTTGCACTTCAGGCTTCAGGGCTTGAAAGATGATCATTGACTGTTAGCTGTCAACATGGCCTACCCCTCTGCCATCCTTTAGTCTTTCTTTGTGAGGTTCTCCTTTCACTTAGTAGGGTAGTCGTGGCCTTCTGTTCTTTTTTTTTACATTTATTTGTTGTGTGTGTGTGTGTGTGTGTGTGTGTGTGTCCAGCTCAGCCCGGTGGGGCTGGCTGGCATGTGGTGCTGGAGGATCGAACCGTGGTCCCTGTGCTTTAGCTAAGCTTGTTCCAAGTAGGTGCTTTAGACCACTGAGCCATCTCTCCAGCCCCATGGCCTTCTGTTCTGATGACTGAGAACATGTTCCTGTTTCAGGGTTTACAAGTGTGGGTGGTCACTGTCCAGGAGCTATCTGTTCCACACTGGGTTTCACTCACTGGCAGGGTCCTTAGAGCCATCTTTAAAAAAAAAAACTTTTTAAAAATCTTTTATTTGGCACACAGTCTTTCTACTCGGCTCCAATCATAATGATCCTCCTGTCTCGCCCTCCCCAGCACTGGGATTACAGGCATGTGTCACCACTCCCAGTTTCAGTGACTGGTACAGATTGCAGTACATGGGATTGAACCTGGGTCCTTGCGCTTGCCTTGCAGGTGCTTAGACAGTGGAGCTATCTCCCCAGGCCCCACAGAGTATGTTCTAAAGAGAAGATCCAGAGCTTGGAATGCTGTACTGATTATTGTGAGGGTTTTTTTGTTTTTTTTTTTTTTTTTT